AGGAGATATTAGCAAGAACCCCGATGAAGAAGACAACACGTTTTATCAAAGACTCAAGTCCATGAAGAAACCTCTAGAAGCCCAAAATATTCCAGACAGTTTTGGAAATATATCTCCAGAAATGAAGCCAGTTCGACACTTAGCTTGGGTTGCCTGTGGTTATATAATATGGCAGAATTCTACTGAAAACACATGGTGTAAGATGGTAAAAATTCAAACTGTCAAGCAAGTGCCAAGAAACGATGACTTTATTGAATTAGACTATACCATTTTACTTCATGACATAGCCTCTCAGGAGATCATTCCCTGGCAAATGCAAGTTCTGTGGCATCCACACTATGGCACCAAGGTAAAACATAACAGCCGTCTGCCAAAGGAAGCACAGCTGGAATAAACCATGTGGCTGACACTGGGATGAGTGTGAACATGACCCTCAATGACATGTGTGCCCCTCTCAACTGGGAGCTAGATAAGGGGCCAAACAAATCCCAAGGTGTCACCTTGTAGAAATGTCTTGATTATAGTACAGAACGACACAGATTCCATAATACCGAGTGCCACTACATAACACTGTCTTTACAGTAGTAATAGTGCTATGTATATCCCCATGTAATAAAAAGCTTTAACTGCAGCTCACGAGGTTTGTGTTGCATACTTACGGGACAGGGGCAGTAATGGTCTCTCGAAAGGCAACTTTTGGCTTTCCCGTGATACAAGGACAGCCATATTCTCTTTCCATCCTCTAAAAAGAACAGGGAAGATAATTTTTTGGTATATTTAAATTAAAGAAAAAAAGTGAAATAAAAAAGTCCTAAGCATCTTGAACACCTTAGTAGCATTCATTTAAATGTAATACACAAATACTAAATCTTAAATCATTTTAGTACCTTAAAAGGATTTGTGGTACTTAAACAATACAAACTTTTACAGATTTTATATTAATGAATTCTAATTTATACTGATTAATTTACACTTAACTTCAAGTGTAAGTTAATAATCTAGCCATTAAAACTTCAACATTGTTCCTTATTATATAATCACTGGGATAATATATACATTTATGATGAGGACTTTCTATCTCAACTTCAAAGATACAATCATACCCCAATTTCTAACATACATCTTTTGCTTTTATATATATATATCTATCTCCTTTCCTGGGTAAGTACAGGCCCCACCCTTTTATCTATTTTATAATGATCTTCAAATACTGATTTGAGCAGAAATGGCCTGGAGAGTGGGTTCAATTACTTGACCCAATTATTCATGAGCTGGGGATGAATGGATGGTCCTGCTGCAAGTCCCCTAAGCACTGAGTCTAGGAATCCACAAAATTTTAGAAATAAAAATGTTTTAAGATCAAAACTAATTACTTTGTAACACACCGTGCAGGGAGCTGTATATTATATCTAGATACAAACTAGAATGAAGCTTGAAGAACCTGTTAGTTTACCATCATTGGACTGAAAATTACTGACTTTAACAAAATACAGACAGTAACAAATTGAATTCAACTTAACTTATTTATTACCTGAGCGTAGATTTCCAGGTGTAATTCTCCCATTCCAGACACAATTGTCTCTTTGCTCTCAGTGTCGAAGTGCACTTTGAATGTGGGATCTTCTCTTGTAAATCTGCCAATACCTTTTGAAAATTTTTCTAGATCATTCTTTAAAAGAAGAAAGTTATGTTTTAGTAAACATGATAAGCCATGGGATTTTTGAAAGAACTCTACTAAATGAAATCAAATATAGTAGCAGTTATAAAAATGATCCACATTCACTTCTGTTCCATGCCTTTTTAAAAAATGTGAGCTTGGGTACCACACAGCCAAGAAATCAGGGAATAGCTAACCAAATAGAATTTTCTTTCCACACCAAGAAAGAAAACAAGAGTCCAAGACTTCAAGCTATCTTACCATGCTTCAAGAAAATAAATAAGAAAGGGTCCAAGACTTAACTCTTAACTACATTGACAAACCATCAATTTTGCAAGGAACTGCCCAAAAGTGGAATGTGGAATCTGCCTTACGTTTTTAAATCCTATACATATACATAATCAAAGGAAGCAGGATGTTTACCAAGACTCTATTGTAGATTCAAGCAGCATCGTAAGGCAAACACCCTTTTGAACAATCATCCTGGATATGGTATGACGTATCTTTAATTTTCCTTAAATGCAGTTCCACATGGTAAGCAGAGCAGTGGCCTTCCAAGGATGCCCTAGTCCCCTCGAACCTGTGAATATGTTACTTTACATGGTAATGGGAATCTATGTAATTAAGTTTATAGACCTTGATAAGGGAAGACTGTCATGAATTATTTGGGTGAGTCCAATATAATCACATGGGCATTTAAAAGTAGAAGAGGAAGGCAGAAGACTAGGTCAGCGAGATTCAATGATGAAAGAGGCAGGAGGTATCTGAAAGGTGAGAGGGACTTAATCAGCTATTGCTGGCACTGAAGATGGGAGGAAGGGAGCCACAAGCCAAGAAAGGTGGGCAGCTGAGAATAGTCCTCAGGCAACAGTCAGCAAGAAAATGAGGATCCCAACCTACAACCACAGGGAACTGAATTCTGCCAGCAACCTGACTCTGACAATTTATCATAATATGTCCTATACATGATATGTTCTGTAAATGACAGCTCCAAGATGATAAGAAGTCATATAATGCTCACTCAATTTATGAACAAGTGAGTTTCTTTTTTTTTCCTTATTTTTTACTTTTATTTCTTTGCTTTTTTGTTGTTGTTGTTGAGACAGAGTCCCACCCTATGTCCCTGAGCAGAGTGCAATGGCGTCATAGCTCACTGCAAACCTCAGATTCAGGCTGTGGGCATCCCGCTGCCTCAGCCTCCAGAAGCCCCTGCGATTACAGGCACTTGCCATAGCACCCAGCTGTGTTATTCATTTTTTTATGAGTCAGGATCTCACTCTCCCTCAGGCAAGTCTAGAACTCTTGAGCTCAAGCAATTCTCCCTCCTCAGCCTCCCACAGTGCTGGGATTACAGGCGTGAGCCACTGTGCCAGGCACAAGTGAGTTTCTCTGTATCATGTTAACAGAATTGTTGTGAATCCCAAAGCAACTTAAGAACTAAACAATTAGGGTTTAAGATCAGACTAATTCCAGTGGAAACAATGCAAATGCAAAACCTAGTCAAGCAATTTGGAATCTGTAAGAAGCTCAATGACCCAACCCAACTAAAACCATAAACATATATAATTATTTTTAAAAACCAAATAAAATTATATTTGAAAGTGAGAAAAAGTCTTGTTTCAAGTCTATGTTATACTCACATATTTACTTCATAACTACCACAAATTCTGCACTATAATCTGTGCGGCAATTAATCTCTCCCATATCCTAAAGTACTTTCCTGCGGGGTTTTCCTACAACTTAGGACAAATGGCTGGTTCCTCTTCCTCATCACCTACGATCAGAATCCAGGAAGTTGATTCCCCTCTGAAGCCAGTGACATACAGTAAAGAGTTATAAAGTTCAGTCTGATGGATATTTTGATATCAAGTTCTTCAAATAATATTGAGCAGTCATTATAGGAACATATTGGTAAATTTAAAAAGGTGACCTCAATACTAAAAGAGGAAACAGACCCTGAGACTCCTGGTTATCACAGGGTACCAAATGCATGATGGAGACAGGTGGGAAACCTAGAGTCCTTACTGTGACACAGTGAGCTTTCAATCAAACTCCTACCTTATTAGAAGGCTTCATTGCTATTGAAATGACAGGGTCAGGAACATGAATTGACTCCTAAAATATTTTTTAAAGAACACAGAAGAATTAAAAACAGTACTGTATGGTCAGGCATGGTTAATTTTAAGGTGCGACTTTACAAAACACAAACACTAGTCAGGGTTTTCAGCTCAACAACATGTATTTAGTCTGTTTTGCATTAAATAAAGTTAAGTATCTTAATGTAACATATAAATTAATAAATAAAGCTATCCACATATACAATTTCCACCTTCCCAAAATAATTTCTCTATGTATTTACCTGTTTCATATAATCATTATAACGACTCCAAATGCCAAGACACGGAAGTCTTTCTAACTGCCCAGTGGCCACATTTGTTTGCTGTTGGAACCTTCTTCTAAGTTACTTTTTAAAATCAAAATACTACTACAATTGCTGATAAGGGAAACAGAGGAAAGGCACCAAATTCTTTGTACCCATGATACCTCATTTAATCAACACGATTCTTGACAGTCAGGTATTATTATCCCTATTTTACAAATAAAGTCACTAACAGCTTGGAAATGAGATAGAATAATTTGGCTAAGGGCCAGCAGGTAGTACAGGGCACCGGTGAAACCCTACCTAAGGCCCATTTGCTTCAAAGCCTCCGTGAGCACAGCTACCCGTCACTTCACATTGCTAATGACAAGCATTTAGAGAAGGCATTACCAGAACTACTATACTTAGAAATCCTCTTATCTAGATAGCAAACGTTTATATATTTCTTTACAATTTTTTGTAGAGTCTTAAATAAACATGTAAACCATTCTATATTAGAGAAGATTTTATATGAAAAAGCTAAATTATGAATTCATCACTTGATACAGGGAACTATCACAGTGCTCATGTGTTAGAGTTGGGCCAGTGCTTATGAAAAGGACCCACTGCAAATGACCTGTTCCACGTCCTCATGCTCCTTCTTCACTCAGTTCAAGTGAGAGCACTCTCCTGAACAAATGGTCATCACGTAGGAGAGCAGGCACACAGGCAAGTGAATGAAGGGAATTCACAGGCTGGAGCTGTCTGGATTCCCCGATAAAAGGGGCCTCTGCGTTCTAAGGCAGACTGGATACAGTCAGTCGGTCTAGCTGCATCTTGCCTTCTCCGAGTGGTTATGCTCTGTTATTGCCAAGGCTAGTATAAATATTATAGTCTTTTTCAGTTCAGATTGTGGGAATGGTCCAATCTCTGGCTACTGAGTTAATAAGGAAATAGCATCCTGATAGAACTAGCTTGATGGAAGCGGCAACAATGACAAAGACACCCACAGTGGAGAAGCAGATCTCAGGTGGGAGAGTCAGAGCTACACACAGTTCAGGTATCACCTACTTGAGATTTTCTTTTTTTGGGACAGAGTCTCACTATGTCACCCTCAGTAGAGTGCCGTCGCATCACAGCTCACAGCAACCTCAAACGCTTGGTTTGAGGCTGCTACAGGCACCCAACACAATGCCTGGCTATCTTTTGTTGCAGTTGTCATTGCTGTTTAGCTGGCCCAGGCCGGGTTCGAACCTGCCAGCCTGGGTGTATGTGGACAGCGCCCTACCCATTGAGCTACAGGCACAGCCAACCTACTAGAGATTTTCCTCTACTATAACCTAGTGGATCATGCAGTGATTTTACTAAGAAAAATCAGATTAAGTTAGCTTACTTAGAACTTGTCTACTTGATGGTCAAAAAGCTACAACCATCATTCAAAGACCCATAACCAACTTGACACCTGTGGTAATCAAAGAAAACTATTATGTTTGTTTTTTGGAAATATTAAATGTACTACATGAAAATGCAGACTTTTGAAATTCAAGTGAGAAATAGTTTTGAGATTAAATGGCTTACCATCGAAAGGCCACTGTTGTCTTTGTTGGTGAATGTATCTCCACTAGCACAGTCAATGCCAAACAACGCACAGATGTCTCCAGCATACGCTTCCTCAACATCCTAAACAAATAACACAAAACGGTATGTGCGCATAACAGAAATAAAGACACGGCAAGTAAAAAGTACCTGCATAATAAATACACCGTCTGTAAGAGATGGCAGACTCTCTCACCGTGAGTTCTACAGAGACTGAGTTAGCCAGAACTCATGCAACACCAGCCGTCACCCAGGCCAAGACGCACCTCAAACAGGACCTTTATGTATTTAATCCACACATCAAAATAGACTTTACTTTAAATGAAAAACTCAGAGGTATGACATCATTACTTGAAGGAGCTGCAGTACTGACAAACTGTGGTATTTCACAGTTCTAAATTTATCTCTACGGAAGCAGGTATCATATACAGTTAGACAATGCTAACTGGTAAACAATGATATTGTGTATGACAGAGATACACCAGGAAAAACTATGAAGGAAGTTCTGAAAACAAAGGCAGAAGAAGGGAACCCATTGTACTAAAAATAATTTTAATTTCTCACAGATGCAAGTTGTCAAGTAAACACAGGAAATCTAAGAACAAAGCGTTAGTGCCTCCAAGCTTCCTACTTTTTGTCATTTCATATTGACAGTTCATTCACAACAGCTGTGACTCTAGGAGAGCTTGCTTCAATGGTTACACAGCTGTTCATAGCTTCTGGCCCCTGAAACAGCTGTGACACTCACCAAGCCCACTAGCCTGCCCCCTGCTGCCTATCTCACAAAACAGCAACACTGTCCAGGTTTGAGAATGCCGATTCATCTTCAAGGAGAAACGAAAGTTTGGCTACCATAATGTTCAGAAGATTTTTGCTTAGACTGATAAATTTCTCCAGAAATATAGAGCTGGACTGAGAAAGGGTGGGAGCAAGAGACAACCTCATGCACTTGGTACTTCCTGCCAAAATCATAAGGGCTACAGAAGGCTATGGCAGATATGTTGCCAATTCAAGAAATCAGGCTGTAAGTCTATCTCCTAGGCCAGACCTTGAGGGGTTTAAATCTTCAGGTGGATTCTGCTTTCAGTATGGCCTGTCAGTGGGTTCTACAATAGGAAGAAAAGCTTTAAGGTTAAATAAGGTTAGAAAGGGTTAAATCCTTTCTAATATTTCAGAAAGTAAATCTATTCAATGATGTGGAAGATTACTCTCTTACCATTAAGAACCATAGTTTCACTGTACTAAATGCCTATGAGACATGATAGCTCTTGAGGAAAGTGCTGAATCTTGTGTTCTGAGTTGTAGTGAACTAATTTTCTCTTTTCCTTATCCTTGGCCATTGAGGAAATACAGCTGACTTACAACGAATGGTATAAAATGAATTCTTAACATTTGCTAATATAGCCTTTAGCAAAGTGCTGGATCAGAGTTACAGCATAACTAAATAAAAAGGAAGAAGTTAGGAAAACACAAATGTTCAACCGGAAGTGATTTTCCAGGAGGGCTCAGGACAGCAAGCAGGTGGGATTCACTTCCCTCACAGCCGAGGACCGTCCGGTCTCACGCTCTCTGTACTTGCCTCCATCATGTCCGCATGCATGCGGACCAGCCGCTGCACCCGCACTTTCTTTCTTGACCTTGTGTTATAGATGGTGTCACCCTTCGTCAGCTGTCCCTGATAAATGCGGACATAAGTTAACTGTCCAAATCGACCTGCCTAGAAGATTGGGGAAGGGCAGGAAGAATAGAAAGAAACATGAGAATCAAAATTAAGGGGAAAACTTCACAATTATGTGCAAACGTTCCCTCCCTCAGTAGTCCAGCTTACGTACGCACATGTTCTAGTTTGCTCTCGTAAGCTACTTTAGTACTAGTTTGGAACACAGATAAGATAAATTACTGAACACTGATCAACTGACATATATTTTAAATTGCCAATCCTCATCATGTTAATTTATAGGTTTAATACAATAGCAATCAAAATTCCAACAGAAAAGTATAAACATCTGATTAGTGATTTTAAAATTCCTTCAGAGGAATAAAAGGGTTAAATAGAAATTTTTCAAAATCAACTGTAATGAGAAGAAATACTAACCGACATAAAAACATACCAAATACTTCAGACTTTAAAAGTACAGAACCAGCACAAATTTATACCATTTTCCCCACTTAAAATGTTATGACAGAAGTAACAACACCCCAACAAAAGGCCCACCCAATGCCCAAATCTTGGTTTCTAAAACCACTTTCCATCAAAAGGAACCAAAGTTCTATGGAGAAATGGGTGACTCTAGGGTTGGGGCACAGACTACGCAAGATAAGCTTGCAGTATTTGATAGTGCTGGGAAGTAAGGAAGTATTTAAAAAAGGAAAGCATCAGAAAATGTCAAAGGGATACAGAAGCCAACTGAAAGAGCTCCCAAAGGCCAAATGTGGTCAATCTAAAAGCAAAATAAATGATATACTACCCACTAAATCAAAGTACAAAATAAAAACCAAGAATCCATAATGATATAAATGACTGATTGACTGAGTGAATAAATAAATGGAGGATTAAAGACAAATCTCCCATGCAGAATTCCAATTGACTTATGTAGATTATGTGGAACACAATTCCTCAACGTGTAATTGTGGGCTGAGCAGCGTGACTTCCTTCTACAAAGTACAGTATGAAAGGGGGGAGGGAAAGTGTACAGTAATTTACAGAGACCTGACAGGTGATCAAAGTTAACGTTAGTCTCAACCCTTGACACGATGTGACAAGAATGACGCTTCACTTCTGCAACTGTCCCTCTAAACATGAGACCCCAATCTAATCACAAGAAAAACGTCAGATATACCCAAACTGAGGGACGATCTACAAAACACTTGACCACACTTATAAATACTTCTCAAAAATGTCAAGATCATGAGAAACTGTTAAAAGTCTAGAGGAGCCCAGGAGACACTGTAACTAAACATACCATGACATTGGGACAGAAAGAGAATGAACATAGGCAAAAAACGAAGGAAGTTCAAATAAAGTATGGGTTTCAGTTAATCATAATGTACCGATATTGGTCCGCTGGCTGTGACCATGTATGGTAACAACAGAGGAAGCTGGTGCAGGATGTATAGGAATCCTTTCTACTATCTTCCTACATTGTTATGTTTATTTTTTAAAAACTGTATCTTTCCATGTCAAAAATAGGCATCTCAACATAATTTTTCAAGTTGGAATAATGTTCCCCTATAAGTATGTACCTCAAAATATGTAATCAAAGTGTAGTTTGGAGGCATTTTCAACTGCTTATAAGGTTTCAGTTTTATACGTGAATAAGACTAATGCTGACCTGATTTCACTACCCTTCATTAGTTCCTTCAGACAGATTTCTAGACATGGTCCCAATGTTATTAATAGCAGTGAAAACCTGGAAATAATATAAATGTCTAACAATTAGGAAAGTCTAAGCAAATTTTGGTATATCTATTTGATGGAATATTAAGCTTATTATTTAAAATGTTTAAATAAGAAACATGGACCGTATCCACTGCAATGTTAAACAAAAAGAACAGGCAGTAGGATTCATGTAAAACTTTATACTTTGAAACAGCAGAAAGAGACTAGAAAGAAATACACTTAATAATAAAGAACTATCATTTGAGGGCTAGGGCTTTGGAAATGCTTCATCTTTCTACTTCTCCTATTTTCCAAGTCTTTCGTAAGGGTCACAGAGTCATTTTGTAACTGGAACAAAAGCCTAAAAGAAACGCTCCCACAGACAGCAGTTAGATACAGGGGAAGCAACTTACCTCCAGTTTAAAAGCCAGGCCCACAAATGGGTGGGAATTATCTCTTTTGGAGTTCATTAAGATTTTGGCTTTCTCTTTTGAGTCACTTAAAATAGAAAAAGATATAAATGTATGAGATGAAATACTTGATTATTTTAATATCTATATGTGTCATCAGAGTACCATCTAAGAAAAAGTGTCTATGTGTCAACATTTGTGGCTTCACACAGAAATCTCACTGAAAGGGATCAATAAGAAAGTGGGGGCTTAGTTACTACCGAGCGGCAGGACCAGAGTACACTAACGTAATGCAGAAATGGTCTGAAAAGAAACATAATCAAAGAGAACTTTAAAAAGGCTTGTTCCCTAAAGCTCTTAAAAAATAATATAACTGAAAACAGCTTGTCCCAAATGACAAAATTTTCTAACAGCATAAACCTCGAGAGATAGTAAAACAAATCAAGTTCTAACTCACAGGGTAAGATGTGGGTACTGGCATAATAGAAATGTTTTAAATTTCAAAACTGTTGCCCAAATAAAAAGTGACAAATTGTTGTAAATTAGGAAAAAAATCACAAACATAACTTCAAGAACCACCCTTAAATTCCTTCATAGTGCATAAGCGTTTAAGTATTTCTACATAACTAAGATTCAGTTTCCAAGACTTACTCCTCCTGATTAAGAATAGCGTAATTCTGGACTTCAGATGGGTTGGGGAGGAACTCTAAAACGGCGTCTAACAGAGGCTGGACTCCTTTGTTCTTCAAGGCACTTCCCATAAAAACAGGCGTAAATGATCTATTTAGAGTAGCTCTTCGGATGGCAAGCTACAAAGGAAAAATATTTAACGACAGTTAATATTAAAAGTACATTTTGTGCTTCGGGACAATCACAAACCAACAAATGAATAAAACAAACTGATACTCTCTGGAGCGGTGCCTGCAGCAGAGATGAAAATCAAGTCCCCAGTGAGTTAAAATCAAAGTACAAGGAAAAAGTGTTTATAAAGCACATCCCTTCTTTGGGCTAGGAAGTGATTTACTCTACAACTGCTTTCAGCACTCTCAGAATCACTGAATTCTCACTAATTTTCAATTTGGAAAAAAAATACACTTAGAACACAGACACGCACAAAAAATAATACACTTAGACACGCACAAGAAAAATACACATAGAACACACACACACATCAAACAACACAAACAGTAAGCTGTGAACTGGTAAAACAGGGGAAAAAGCACTACACAGTATACTCAAAACCAAAATCTCCAAGAAGACACAGAAGCTATTAACTGGAAGCCTGTTTTCAAGGAGAAGGCAGAAAAAGAACAGAAGGATTTTTACTGCATGCCTTTCAAAAGTTTAAACCATCTAAATGTATTCTCTATTTAAAAACATTTAATTAGGCTCAGCGCCCGTAGCTCAGTGGTTAGGGTGCCGCCACAAAGACCAGGGCTGGCCGGTTCAAACCCGGCCGGGGCCTGCTAAACAACAATGACAACAACAACAAAAATAGCCGGGCTTTGTGGTAGGTGCCTATAGTCCCAGCGACTTGGGAGGCTGAGGCAAGAGAATCACTTAAGCCCAACAGTTTGAGGTTGCTGTGAGCTGTGACCCCATAGCACTCTACCAAGGGCAACATAGTAAGATTCTGTCTCAAAAAAAAAAAAAAAGTTTAACTTTTATTCTGTTTCTTTTAAAGAACATATACATAGGAAACAAAACTATACAGACCAATCATAAAGTAAGTGCTATGATAGTAGCAGCCTCTAAAATAATGATCATGAGGTTCTGCCACAGCCCTGGGTGGTGGGGAGCAGGGTCAGCACACCTGCTGGCTGCAGGCCTCCACAGAGTGGAGCCTTAGCTTTAGCAGCTGAAGAGGCCAACGACAGCGCTGTGGCCACAACCTGTCACTGCACATATATGGAGGAAGCACACAGTATTTCTCAGTCCTCATGTAAAAAGAGAAAACTAGTTACCCAAAAAAGCCTAAAGCATTTACAGCCACTATTTCTAAGCTGAGCACAAAAAAAGGGGGGTATATAAAAAGCAAAATATATACAGAAGTAAGCAATTACTTTTTAAAATCATCTTAAAAACTTGCTTTTTGCGATTGCTAGGAACTGAAAATGGCAAGATCATGAATGGCTTAGGCTACCAGAATCTACTCTGCCCTAATATGCAGGTAATAACACAGTAATCTTACCATGCTTTACTTTACATCCACAGAACAAAGAAATATAGGAAGGTGGTAGATAGGAAAAAAATGAGAAATTAAAACTATCTCTTATACCATCTGAACAAAAACTTTATTTTCCAAAATTTCCCTTGTTTTCGTAAGAATCACTTTCATACTTAAAAATGTCACCTTTCCATTGTCCCTAATAATACATCCAACCATAATATACACACTGAACTATATCCATGTACCTGGTGCAAAAAAGTAAAAACCGCAAGCCTGAAACTTTCCTTAGAAAGGTTTGCTTGCAAGGTTGGCCATCAGCTGATGTCTAAGAGCTTGGACTTCAGAAGAATCCCAACATTCCCAGAACTGATAACCACCGTCTGCTGAACCTCTATGGTTTGTACAAACAAGGCCGTGTATGCCAAACACTTGCTTTCCTCTGGGAGCCAGGAATTTGGGTACGTGCTAGACAGAGGGTCTCTGTGACCGGACCCCAATAAAAACCCTGGGCACTGAGTCTCGAACGAGCTTTCTTACTAGATGACATTTCACAGATGCTGTCACAACTCCTTGCTGGAGGAGGTAAGCAGTCCTGCATGGCTCACTGGGAGGGGACTCTGAGAGGCTTACATGGAAGGTTTCCTCTAGACTTCAACTTGTCTGCCTTTTCCCTTAGGTGATTTTGCTGTAGAGCCTTTCACGGCAGGCAATATAGCTGTAAGTGTATTGATGTGTTGAGTCCTGGGAGTTCTCCTACTGAATCACGGAACCTGGGAGTGTTCTTGGAGAGCCAGGCACTTTCCTCCTAATAGATTAAAAAACCTATCTACTGTGCTTCCCAGGACATCTAGATGCCTGACTTCAGGCACAGACTTGTGTAGGGGTACAGCACCCCACACTCAGACACGGCAGTTTAGCTTCCTGTGCTCACCACGGAAAATGGCTCTGAGATGCAGTTCTTTTCTCTGAGGCCCTGTCTGCAGCCTGCAGAAATGCAGAGACGCTCTCACAAAAGAATACCGGAGGGCCAGGCCTGGGTCGCAGCTGGAAGCTTGAACACCTGTTGACTGCTGTTCTCTGCTCCTCTCCCATCATTAACATTATAATCACTGGTTTCGTTTTAGAGAGAATTATGCAAGCAAGAGCAGACTACCTGGCTCCCTTATGTTTTAACCCCAAACAGAATCAATTGTGTATGTGTTCAACAGCAATTGTACTGAATTGGGATCTTAATGGTAGTTTCCTGATCTTACTTCACTTCTTTTTACCTGTATTGAATTCTTACTGAATTGGGATCTTAATGGCAGTTTTCTGATCTTACTTAACTTTTTTTTTTTTTTACCTGTATTTGAATTCTTACTGAATGTTTGAGAGTATATAAGATAATCAGTAAAGTTGGGCAGGATTGCTGTGCTGGAGAGAGCCTTAACCTTCCTTTTTGCCAATCATTCTGTCTGCAGCTTCCTATCTCTGCGTCACCCATCAGAGGGCTCCAGGGAACACTAACAGACCTGTACTACCTCCCTCCACATGGTGTTCCCTACTCAGGAAGCCGGGCCCAAAGGCCTTTGAGAATGCTAAAGAGCTCAAGTTACAAAAGACAGTCCCAGTTTAGACAGTAAAAACGCATTAGTAAGTATCCTCAGCATCAACGGGGCTCTTTCCTGCTGTGTCTGATTTACTAGAAACTCAAGAGTAGGTAATTATTCTCAACTAAGTGCACCGTGTGATTTGGGGAAATGACTGTCAGTCATTTTTACCGTGCTCAATTATACATAAGATAAAATTCACCGTTTTAACCATTTAAGTGTACAGCCAGGGGCGCTGAGAACATTTACAATGCTGGGCTACACATCACCACTATTTGCTCATCCATCACCAGAACCTTTTCCTCACCTGAAACTCTATCAGTTAAACAATAACTCCTCTCACCACCTTTGGTAACCACTAATCTACTTTCTGTCTCCATGGATTGACTATTGTAGGTAACTCTTAACAGCAGAATAAGTAACATTTGTCCTTTTGTGCTTAGTTTGTTTCACTCAGATTGAGATTCATCCAGGTTGAAGGACATTCAGAATCTCATTCCTTTTTATGTTGAACAACATACCATTGTATGTATGAGGAGTCTTCAAAAGTACTATAAAAAAAACCTCTATATAGATTTCAAACTTTTTTGCACCAAAATAAACTCAGATTAACTTGTTACAACATGGCTGAACAAGATCTAGTCTGGGGCGTTAAGGAAAGAGCCCCTATCAGAACAATATGAATTCTGTTAAACTCAAGGATGAACATCAAATTTTGGTGAAGCTTGAGTGGAAGAATAGTGAAATCAAACAGGAAGTTTATGGGATGATGCCCCAAAGAAAGCAGAGTTCACAAACGGATAATTTATTTTAAGAAGATGAAACCATGTTAAACATGAAGCAACAGATTCTTCATGTCTTTAAGAAAAAAATTCATTCTGTTCATGCCCTAATTGAAGAGGCGTGATTAACAACAGCACAACTCATAGCCAAGACCCACAGATAACTCGATGGGTTCAGCTTACCCAATTTTGACTCAAAAATTAGAGTTGGGCAAACTTTCAACTTGAAGATTTGCCAAAATCATTGCACCCAGACAAGAGCAGAATTTATAATGGAAATTTCAAACAAGTGGGATCAAGATCCTGAAGTATTTTTCAAAGATGTGAGATGACACATGGCTTTATAGTACAAGTCTGGAGACGGCACGACCAAGGCAATGCTGCCCAAGAGGTGGAACTGATGTAGCCAAAGCAAAAGAGGAAAGACGGGGCAACAGTCATTGAGATGCTCAAGGCCTTTTGCTTGTTGACTTTCTGGAAGGCCAAAGAACAACATCATCTGTTTATGAGAGTGTTTTGAGAAACTTGGGTAGAGCCTTAGCAGAAAAACTCCCAGGAAAGCTTCACCAGAATTTCTCCTTCATGACAGCAATGCTCCTGCTCACTCCTCATCAAACAAGGGCAATTTCGTGAGACTTTAGATGGGAAATCATCAGCCATCTACCTTGCAATCCTGATTTGGCTCCTCCTTATTTTTCTTCAGTTAATAAAGCAAAAAAGACTGCACAGACAGGCTTATTTTCCCAGGACCCTCAGTTCTTTAGGGATGGACTAAATGGCTGTTATTATCGCTTACACAAGTGTCTTAAACTTAACAAAGCTTATGTTGAGAAATAAAGTTAGTATTTTTATTTTTCTCTTAATTCCATTCTCCACAAACGTTCTTTAGTCTCCTCATATACACAACATTTTGTTTATCCATTCAGCCACTGATAGACATTTGGGTTGTATCTATTACTCTGAATACATTTTGGCTACTGTGAACACTGCTACTACGAACACCGGTGTACAGCTATTTGAGAGCCTTCTTTTTTTTTTTTTTTTGCAGTTTTTGGCCAGGGCCAGGTTTGAACCCACCACCTCCAGCATATGGGGCCAGTACCCTACTCCTTTGAGCTACAGGCACCACCCTATTTGAGACCCTTCTTTGGGGGGGATAACCCCCCAAAATAGCGGGATCATATGATTATTCTCTTTAAGTTTTTAAGGAACCATAACACAGTATTCCACAGCGGTGCATTAATTACATTCCCACCAGCAATGCCCACTGCCCACGCATTCTAATTTCACTACATCCTCACCAACATTGTTATTTTCTGGGGTTTTTTTTTTTTATGGGGGGGGGTTTGTTTTAAATACTAGCCATCCTAATGGTGTGAAGTGGTCCCTCGCTGAGGATGTGACTTGCCTTCCCTAGTAACTGACAGTGCTGAGCATCTTCTCATGTACTTGTTGGCTATATGTGTACCTTCTTTGAGAAATATCCTTTCTAAAAACAATTATCAGCCGTGGGCAGGGGCCTTCTCTTTATTTTTAAAGAGTGAATGATCAAAGTGAAGCAATCTATTTGGCTTTATACAAGGTTTCCAAACAGCACAACAGTGTGAGAACCAACCCGTAGTCTGCAAACGTCCAGCAGCTGCTTCTCTTAACCTGCCTTATTACTGTTTTCTATATTTATCTATTTACTTTTTAATAAGAATATACCCAAGAGTTTGATGGTTTAAGTATCATTTTCTCTACAAAAAACTATGAGTGCTCTCCTAAGATATTGCAAAACTTACTCCTAAAAAAAATGCCATGTCAAGTATCTTTAGAGGTAACAAATGATATTAAATAAATTTACTCAGATTTCATTAATAAAGCCCATGTATAAAAGCATTACATCCCCTCCTCACGAAAAACAAACAAGTAACTCTTTTTCTTGTTATATAAGACTTATTTCTAGAGTGCTTGCCTTTAAATCAGAAATTGAGGGGATTTTTTCTTCCAAGAACATCTCACCAAGCTGCTCGTCTGAATTGGCAACACATTCGATGAGCTCCTGCCGGTGGTCAGCTGCCTCTGCCCTTAATTCAGCTGGAATTTCACCATAGCGAACAATCTGACTAAGAAGAGAAATATTTTATTTTAGTACTTTAAGGACACTAACTTAGACATATAAAGCACCAATGAAAAAGATATGACTAACAGCTGAATTATATATATTTTTAATAAAGAGCTGATATATTTACATTCAAATGGCAAATAAGACTAACATATATCTACAAAATGCAAGCCAGGTCCCATAGCTCAAGTCTGTAATTCAGCACTTTGGAAGGCTGAGGAGAGAGGAAAGACTGAGTCTAATACTTTGAGACCAGCTTGGCCAACAGAGCAAGATCTTGTCTCTACAAAAATAAAGATATTTTAAAAATATTAGTCAGGTGGGATAGCACTTGCCTATAATCCCAGCTACTTGAAAGGCTGAGGCTTGACAATTCCAGGAGCCCAGGAGTTCACGGTTATACTGCATTTGAAAATTGGCAAGCGTATGAAGTAGTAAGAGCATCCGTTTACTACTTACCACGCGGCGAGCACTGAACTCAATCCAGTAGAACCTCCATAGCAGACCACATCCCCACATCGACCATCTCTGTACACTGACCTAACTGCAGAGACTGGACGTGCACCACACGTACATATCAGCACAGCAGGCTAGTTCATTACACGTATGACGACCACCTTCGTATGTTGACAAGTTTGTTACAGTCCCTTGGGTGGTCAGGTCAACTTACAGAGGTTCTACTGTATTTGTTAAGATATTAATCTTCACATCATACAAAATGGCTTCTATTACCTGCATTTTCAGATCAGGAAAGTAACTTAAGTAGGTGAAGTAATTGTCTAAAGCTGTATTCTTAATGAACAGAACACTAAGATTCAAAGCCAACCTGTCTGAGGCTCATCTGAGCTCTTGAAACTTCTATTAGCCATAAACTTATTAATCATATCACCACAATCTCTAATAAGCAGGATTAGACATCTTACTCTATTCTCTTCCATTAATGACAAACCCAGTTGTACAATTTTTAACACAGATTATACCAATTTGTATTTTTTAAAAGTAACTAGACAGTCCTTTCAACTCTGACACCAGGTCTCCATTCCTCTAGGGTTAAACAGGTTAAGAGACACAGATGAAATAGACACCAATGAGAAATGGATATACTCGGTATTTTTAAAATCCAAACTCCACAGCTGACCACCTGCTCAAGTTGACCTAATTTCCATAGACCAGACAGACCACATGCCACACGTACTCCATGGAAGTTCCTTATGTTGACCAGTTTGTTACAGTTCCTTGAGCGGTCAACTCACAGAGGTTCTACTATATTCCCTTAAAAATGGAAATTAATGTCAAAAAATAAGCTTTTCAGAGAACACACCCCTAAATAAAAAGAAAGACAAAAGTCAATTCCAGAGAGTGAGAAAAAAACTCCTCATGTTCTAAACAAAACCCTGCACAGCCTTCAGATTTCATCCTCCCTGGCAAGGTCCCTGGTTCTTAGCCTCTGTGTCAGAATCATCTGTTGAGTCCTTTCCACACACACCCAGTGGTCCAGGGCTGTGGGAGGGGGTGTGCACACAGTTCTACAATGTTTAAGAGCCCCTAGTTTAGATAACAGAAATATATGCTTCAGCAATTCTGGGAAAGTGAATTGAGTCATTCATTTACAAATATTTTTTGAGTCCCTATTATATACCAGGAAGTTCTAGGGGCAATTCTAGGACACAGCAGAGAATAAAGCAGAAAGCAACCTTGCCCTCTTGGGCCTTTCATCCTGAGAAGTGGCAGCTGAGCTCTGCTGTCATTACTCAGTTCTCACACAAAAAGTGAGAAAACCCTTATCCACTGGACGGCCTCCATCCTTTTCCTGTCTACAAAATGGCTCGTGAAGATCAATTCTACACCTCACAGCTCACAATGCCATTCACCCAGCAGCCAGGCCTGAAATCCCAATCTCCTGAGGAAGGAAACCTCAGGAAATGCCTGCACAGAAACCGCCGGGCGACAGAGGTTACTCCTCAGAACAAGGGCCGTCTCTGACTCCCCGGCGTCTAGATCAGCGTCAGGCAGAGTGTGGTCTGCAGACCCACAGCAGCCTGAGCTAGAAACTTACCCCAAACACAAACTTACCCAGATCACCTGAATCAGAACCTCCAGAGGTGTACCCAGGAATATGGGTTTTAACAAGCTTCCAGGAGATTTTTATGAAATCTAAGGTCTGACAACCACGGGGCAATCACAGCACTCTGTATGCAAAGGTCACAGAGATGCTGACTAACCAGACAGTGTGTTAAAAAGTTACCAATTTGTTTCTTGCAGTTCCCAAACCACATCTGTACAATTTTAAATGTTTTTACAGATTAATATTTCTATCTGTGAAGTAGGTTGAGCAAATATTTATGGTCTCGATTTTCTTTCCAGTTTTTATCACAAAACCCAAGCACCTTGCAGCTGCTCTACAAGTGCCGGGAGAGTGAATGAGATGAGCAAATAAATGAACAGCAGAGAAAGACATAACATGCTAACAGCCCAAACCGAAGGCCTCCTTCTACCACACAAGGCATGCCGTCACTTGTTAGCCAAAGTAACATTCTCTCTCAGAATTAATGCCAAGCAAAATGAGGAGCAACTAGGATGAAAGGAATTAAAACAAAGATAATTTAGAGAATATATTCTTCCAGACATATTTCAAAAAGATATTCTAAATTTAATGAACCTATCCTTTCCTTCTCTTTGATGCTTTTTAAAATATAAAATTTTAGTAGCTTATATTTAACACTTACCCAAAGTCTCCATCAAAATAGATGGCTCGTTCCTCAATAAGATCTATAACACCTTTGAAATTACCCTCCAACCCAATGGGTATCTGTACAAATGCTGCATTATGGTTTAGTTTGGACCTGAAAAATAAAAATATACTTGTTTACCTCTTTTCTTCTCTCCAATTCCTCTGAATGACAAAAAAAATATAAAAATAAGTCAATGGCAGATGTAGAAGTGAGAAAGGTATTATCACCAGGTCAGACCAGAAGATATAAAACTATTGGAAACTAACAAGCCAAACTCAAGGAGCTCAGGAAGCCTCAGCCCCATTTAGGCCACAAAAAGAACTCCACAATAAGTGTTGTCCCATCAGATCCCCAGAATACACTGGATCAGAAAGAGAAGGGGAAAGAACAGGTGATGGTTACCTGGCCAGGACAGGGAAGAATAGAGGGCAAGCCAAGCCACTCTCATTCTCACATCGACTGACACTAGCAAAGCTGAGTGCAGTGATCTGAAGAGGGAGCTCTGGCAGCAAAACTCCTGTAGTGGGTACAATCATCAGACACTCGTCTTTACCTGAATCCCCAACCAGGCTCAACACTGAACAGAATCTATACTCAGTGGCAGAAATTCTCACTGCAGAAGAAATATGTCCCAGTTACCACTGTTTATATCTAGACCCATAGCTGTAATTACGGATAGAGATGTACAAAGCACCAAATATTTGAAGAAAACATAGCCTGAAAGAGAAGTGTTAACACAGCAAATAGTATTAACCTCCAAAAAGAGTTATTAAAGGAAAGAAAATAAAATTAAAACCTGTTCAATGGGAGTTACAAAATGAGAAAACAAATAAATGGAGGTCAAAAAAGAACCAACCAAAGTAACCAAATAGATGCTAAGAGGCCAGGTATGGGGGCTCACTCTGTAATCCCAGAGTTTGGGGAGGCCAAGGTCAGAGCGTCGCTTGAGCTCAGGAGTTTGAGACTACCCTGAGCAACAAAGCAAGACCCCATCTCTACAAAAAATACATAAATAAATAAAAATTAAAAATTTTAAGATAAATAAATACAGATGCTAAAAGAAAATTTTCTTGGAATTCAGGAAAAGACTTGGTGAAATAAGCTAATGATAAGGACAAAAAGTACAAACATTTAGTTTTACCAAGAAAATAATACAAATGCTCAAAAAAGAAAAATTTTACTTTCACACCCCCAAATACCTAATTTCTGTAATATTAGCCTAAAATACCTAATTTCTGTCATATTAGCCTATTCACTACCGCAAACTTGGCCACCTGTACCTATCAGCTCTGTTACGTGAAACTTGACCATAAACTTCTGTGTCTACAGTTGCACACCTCCAGAAGAGAAAATATGAAATGCTCACTTTTTTAAAAGGCTATGTGCAGTATATAGCATTGTGCAAAATGTAAAATACTATAAACGTCACAGGGTTCTAGCTGGTACAGAAAGGAAGGGTCACTCTCATCCTAGCAAATATGCTACCATTTCACCTCTATGGCACACTACCTAAGAGCATGAAATAAAATCCTTCAGATAAATGTTAAACTAAAGATGATTCTTTAGGTTTGTATAAATGAAGTCTAAGTATTATTAGAATCTACTCTCGGTTATACATTTCCTAATTACATCAAAACAGTATAAATTCTGAATTTATCTTCCACCCCTCTAGAAGTTATCTGCCCCCATCTTACAGAAGGTAGTTGATGAGACCACACCACAAACTAAACCACTAGTGTTCCAAGAATTTACTTCATTCACATAAATAAATTTTAAGAAAGAAAAAATGTAAAGATAAAGTTTGATGACACTAAATTGCTGCCCTTTTGGATATAAGGTTGGCTGTCAGGATCATCACACTTCTCTCTTCTTTCTAAAGCTCGGTACCTCATTTGCTTCAGGGCTCTGGTTGGGTTGGAGCCCATTCGGTCCAGTTTGTTGATGAAAGTTAGAAACGGAACACCATAGCGCTTCATCTGACGATTCACTGTCATAGTCTGGCACTGCACCCCTCCGACAGCACAGAGAACCAGGACCGCCCCATCCAGCACTCTCAGGGCCCTTTCGACTTCTATTGTGAAGTCCACATGCCCTGAACGAGACAAAGTAGCATGGGGAGGGGAGTGTTAAAGAGCAGTCTGAGTTTTTAACATATGCACTATTAAAAGTTTTCATCTCTCTGCTCATTACAGAAGTCCTCTAATGAGAATGGAGATTCCTGACCTCACCAATACATTCTCCTGCCATAAGGCCCAGGGCCCAACATGATTATTTCAAGAAGATGCTAGGGCACAGGTACCTTTGGAATCATCTGGAATATGCAAAAGAAAAGAACTTCCTACTTACAACTTACTGGCACTATTTCTAAAAGAAACCATTTAAGAAGAAAGTGCTTGAGGTTCCAAGTCAATCTTCTCTAAAAGGAGTTTGGTGTTACACTTTTGAGTATTAAAATTAACTGGATCATATAAAACAAAGAACTAAATGTATTTTTCCCAAAAAGCCATAATAAAATCAAGACTCCAACTCACCAGGAGTATCTATAATGTTGATATTGATATCTTTCCACATGGTGTAAGTGGCTGCGGACTGAATAGTGATTCCTCTTTGCCTTTCTAGTTCCATGGAATCCATAACAGCACCAACTCCATCTTTACCTTTCACCTAAACACAAGCACAGCAGTTCAGATTCCTCTGTCCCTGATTCCAAGAAGAAAAGCCTTTACTGAAATGGAACCAGAACACAGCTAGTTAACTTACACAATTTTCAAATAGCCTAAGTGTCAAACCACCTCACCTCGTAAAGGAGATAACTGATCACCAAATGGACTCTGACTTAAAGTGGTCCAACCCAATGGTTTTTAAACTTTACGACAGTACAAAAGCAGCATATGCATTCAGTAGAAATCATATTTCAAGTATTTGTCAACCATTCTGTTTTCACATTCAGTATTCAATAAATTATATGAGATAGTCAACAACTTTATTATAAAGTAGGCTTTTTGCTAGGTGTAACTGTAAGCTAATGTAAGTGTTCTGAGAACATTTAAGTAAGCTAGGCTAAGCCATATGCTCTGTAGGCTGGGTATACTAAACTGGTTTTCAACTTATTGATACTTTTGATTTACAGTGAATTTATTGGTATACAACCTCATCATAAATTGAGGAGCAACTGTGTAGGTTTTGCCCTATATCAAATACCAAACCCTTTTCTGACCACTGTCCTCAGCTAAGGTAGACCAATCTCTGGTTGTAGAACCACCCCCACACCCTTTATACCATTCTGCCCTCCAGTCATGCATTAGTCCCAGAGCAGACATTCAGAGAACAGAACTTTCCCAGTTCTGCTGCACACGGATCTGATACCTAGGTAAGAAGGACTCAGCTTTTGAAGTATGTGACTTAACAAGATACAAAGAACCTTTATATGAAGAAATATTTTAAATCACAGAGTCAAGTTACTCAATGATATGGTAATATCTTCAGGAAAGTTTCAAGACTTTTTAAAATAATATTATTCTGATATATATATTTCTGAAATCATGCTTATGCTATGTATCATTTTAAGCCACCCCATCTCTACTAAAAATAGAAAAATTAGCTGGGCATAGCAGCTCATGCCTATAGTCCCAGCTACTGGGGAGGCTTAAGTGAGAGGACTGCTCAAGCCCAAGAGTTTGAGGTTGCTGCGAGCTATGATGCCACAGTACTCTAACCAGGGTGACAGAGTGAGACTCTGCCTCAAGAAAAAGAAATCATAAACATTTCTCCACCTCATAACAAATTATGCTTAAGTATATATCATATTGATTTAACATTCTTAAAAGACATTCTGCTCATGACAGTCACAATAATGATCTAATGATCTCTGGAAATATTACTCTGAGTATGTCAAGCCAACTGGAGCTATCCCCTCTGTGCACGTGATTTGGTTAAAGATCCACTGTTACCAGTGTTCTAACCTTTCAGGTTCTGTAAAGTTTGTACAAAATCAAGCTCTGTTTAATCTACCAACAGGCATGAACCACATACCTCATGCATCTTTGCGATTCTGCCAGTGTAGTAAAGGACTCGTTCTGTCAATGTGGTTTTCCCAGAATCAATGTGAGCTGAGATTCCAATATTTCGTATTTTTTCATTAGGAACTACCCCTGATGAACACCATCGGCAGGACTTCCAATTAACCTGAAAAAACAGGACAGCTCAATTCACTGCAGTTTTTATAAGAGATAACAGACAAAATGGGTAGGGTGCACATCTTTCCTTCAAGGAATCTCAGTGAACGTGAGATAGCCTGGAAAGGTAGATGGGAAAATGTTTAAACCTGCAACCCCTGAAACCACAGGAGGGACTACAAAAGAAGACAGAAAAGGCATACTCTTTAAAATGAATTAGTTAATTAAATGCAATTAAAATCAAATGAGACAGACCCCTTTGCCAAATATTACATATTTGAAAATACGCACCAGGGCTGATAAAAGCAGAAAGAACCCCCCCAAACTACGTTAACAGAAAATGCAAGTTTTACCTTAAATTTTACTTTAATTTCCCCCCCTCCTTAATTGCAGCTAACAAAGACGTTTCAGAACTTGCAGGCTCTATACAGTGAAGTCAACAGCTCCAAGAGAGCCCCAGAAGATGTCTAATTCTCTCTAAACAAAAAAAGTTCATGAAGTATCTTTTTTTTTTTAACTTTACTGGGGTTGGGGGTAGAAACCTTGTATTTTATGAAACCAAAAGACGATATAAACCCCTCCGTATAGGACTGCACATCCAAAAACAAACGAGATTTGCATGACAGAAAAGGCTCAATATCCGCCCTAAGCCTACGGTCTCTCCCAGCACCACCACAACCCTGCCCTAAAGGCTTTTATTCACAAACTTCTATACCGTGGTGAGAAACAAGACCTATGAAAGGGGTCGGGAAGATGAGAGCCAAATCAAGTAACGGAGGGCCGGCAGAGAAGGGACAGGCGGGCTAACGACATCCTGTAGTGAAAAGGGCACTGGATAGAGTCAGAAGTTTGGGGTTTGCGTCCTGGGCACACAACTTTTTCAGCTGTCTGACATTCACCCTATATAGCTCCTCTTTCAGGTACCATCAATAAGAGGCTCAGCCGTAACTCGGGGCCCCGTCCAGCGCCCTCCGGCACCGAGAAGATGCTCACGAGGAACCAGCTTAAGTGCAGCTACCGAGAGGCTTTGCAGCACTGGGGCGCGATCACTCGTATTCCGAGCTGTCAGCGAGGTCTCCGGGAAGGAAGGAATGTCACTGCCTCCACCGCCCTGAAAGGCCCGCAAGGTCCCGGGAACAGTCCCTGATTCGGCCTGGCGGGCACCAGTACCTGCTTCCCCTGCCAGCCGAGGGCGGCAGGGACCCGAGGCAGCGGCCCGCGCCCCACAGCCGCGGCGGCGGCGGTTCCCAGCAGCCTCATGGCCAGCGCAGACAGGCCTGAAACTCCCGCGGTTCCCGGTCTTCTCAGCCGCCGGTACCGCAGCCAGAGCCGCCGCAGGTCACGCTGCAGCCCGCGCCGGAAGAGCGCACAGGAGCAGAGGACACCGGGGCGAAGCCAGGGCGGGAAAAAGGAGAGGAACTCCCGGGCCGACGCGCCGACAGCGCCTCCGTTTCCCGCGCGCCCCCTGCCGGCGCGGAAGAGAAAGTGCAATCGCCTTCCGGAGCTGATTGCTGCCCCGGAGGAGGCAAAGCCCTGTGGGGAAGGGGGCTGTTTGGTCTTTGTCGTCTTCTTTTTTAAAGACATCATTGCTGTGTAAAGATGCACATTGTTAAAATAGTTGTTTGACCTATATAGCAATGTGAAGAAAAGTTTACGACAGAATTTAAATGAAAAAAAAAAAGCCAAATTATTGTGTATGTTGGTATTATAAACTTTAAAAAAAAAAAAAAGAAAAGAAGAGAAAATGTTCAGGACATTGCCTGAAAGGGAAGGTGGAAAAATAATAGCGAATTAACCACCAGTTATGGCCTGGCGCAGTGGCTCACGCCTGTAACCCTAGCGCTCTGGGAGGCCGAGGTGGGTGGATTGCCTGAGCTCAGGAGTTGGAGCCCAGCCTGTGTAAGAGCGAGACCTCATCTCTAAAAATAGCATTGTGGTGGGGGCTTGTACGGAGGCTGAGGCAAGAGGATCCCCTGAGCCCAAGAGTTTGAGGTTGCTGATAGCTATGACTCCAAGGCACTCTACACAGGGCAAGAGAGTGAGACTGTTTCAAAAAGCAAACAAAAACATAAACAAAACCTATCAATTACAAGTACTTTTTCTTTTCTTTTTTTGAAGGTTATCAAGTCAAAAATACATTTTCTGTACTTTTTCTCATTTCAAAACATTGTTATTGTCCAATGTCAGACGTTTTCGGTCCAGTTCATGTGGGAGACAGTAGCCTTGACCATCCCACATGGTGATCTTAGAGGCATCTCCAACTTAAGATGTCACAAACTGAGCTTCTGATCTTTTCCTAAAAGCCTTTTCCTACAGTTTTCTCCATTTCACAAATGGAAACACCATCCTTCGAGTGACTTTAGCCAAAAATGTTAGCCACTTTGACACCACTCTCTGGCACCCCCAACTAATTTGTCAGTATAACCTATAGGCACTACCTTCAAAAATAATATCCAGAACCTTCTACTTCTCCCCACCTCTCAGCACTGCTATTTCTGACAGAATTATTATAATAGCCTCTTAACCGATTTCACTGCTTCTGCCTTTGTGGGTCAGTAGATGACATTTTAGAGTCATTGTTTAATGCTAAGAAAAATCCAGTTGAAATTTGGCAAAATGCAGTAGAATACTATGCCTTTGGCAACATGCCAAAGAACGCTTTCTTATTTTCACCCATGAATTGCTTGGCATCTACATTCTCCTACCCAGAGCAAGTCACCCCTAAGGTCATAAATGACTGATACCCAGCTAGCGGATCAGCTGGAGCTACAGACCTCCATGCTGCAGCCCAAGATCCAAATGCTTTTCAATAACAAGAAGAAAAGACACAACAGCTCTTTTCCAGCTGGAACCATGGAGGGTCTCAAAGAAAGGAAAAAGAAGGTTCCTGCTGTGCCAGAAACCCTTAAGAATTTCACAGAGCTAAAGATCAAGCGTCTGAGAAAGAAGTGTGCCCCCAAAAATGCTTCAAAAGGCAAGGAGGAAGCTTATCTATGAAAAAGCTAAGCATTATCATAAAGAATATAGGCAGATGTACAGAACTGAGATTCAGATAGCTGGGATGGCAGGAAAAGCTGGCAGCTTCTATGTACCTGTAGAACCCAAATTGGCATTTGTCATCAGGATCAGAGGGATCAATGTGTGAGTCCAAAGGTCCGAAAGCTGTTGCAGCTTCTTCGCCCTCGCCAGATCTTCAATGGAACTTTTGTTAAGCTCAACAAGGCTTCCACAACATGCTGAGGATTGTAGAACCGTATATTGCATGGGGGTACCCAGATCTGAAGCCAGTAAATGAGCTAATCTACAAGCGTGCTTATGGCAAAATCAATAAGAAACAAATTGCATTGACTGATAACAGTTTGCACGATCTCTTGGTAAATAGGGCATCACCTGCATGGAGGATCTGATTCATGAGATCTATACTGTTGGAAAACACATCAAAGAAGCAAATAACTTCTTGTGGCCCTTCAAGTTATCATCTCCACGGGGGGGGTGTGTGTGTGTGTGAAAACAAAGACAACCCACTTTGTAGAAGGTGGAGATGCTGGTACCAGGGAAGACCAAATCAATAGGCTTGTTAGAAGAATGAACTAAGGTATCTGACCTGATTGTTTCTGTAATCTGGTCAGTTAATAAACAGTGACTACTTTCAAATTGAAAAAAAAAAGACAACAAAGTCTTTAGAAGTTTAGTTAACTTTAAAATTAATAGTTTTTATTATTTGAAATTAAGTATATAGTGATTAGGTTTCTACAAAATAAATGTATGTTTTTAAGGATATCTAATTGAAGTTTCTTGAATGAGGCCTTGATTACAGCTTAATTAACACCACCTTCCAATGGTGAAGATGTTCCCCATCCCTGTGATACCGCAATTTTGTCTTCAGTTGGTTCTTGGATTCTGTGATTTGTGACTCGAAGAATGAATCCCGGGACTACAGATAAGTGGTAAGACAGGATTTATTTACACAAAAGAATACAAAAATACCAAAGCTCCTGGCAGGGAGAGAAAACCCAAGTCAGGAGAGAAAAGCTGTCTGTCTGTCTGTCTGTCTGTCTCTGGGCTCTTTGTCTAGTGGTATACATAGTCGCATGGGGCTCTCAGTAGTTACATTTAGTGCGGCTCAGTAATTACATTTAGCGTTTCTGGGACGACATGTCTGGGTCTTAAATGAGTGGCTACAATGGCTACATTCCCAGGCCTAGGAAACTTACATGAAATTGACCAGGCCTAGGAAATGGGCGTTTCCTGTTCAGCCCTAAGTGCAAGGGGAGGGAAACCTAAGGTGCTGGTGTCTCCCCAGCAGTTGTCTAGTCCCACCGGCTACTGGAGCCTCCTTCAGGGGCCCCTGCTTACCCTCCAGCCAGCTGGTTCCTCTGCCCTTTGCCACCGCACTAACACAGCCAAGGCCCAGGCAGCCGGTCAGTTCTGCTGAGCCGTCTGGGGCGCCACGGGTCCTGTATCACCTGGATTAGAGTCTTTGCTCTTCCCCAGATAACTGCCTGGCGCTCTCTCCCTCACTTCCTTCCCTTCAACCCTTCTAAAATAGCAAGGCCCTCCCCCACTGTCTAACTTCTCACCCTGTTTCAGAGCATTTCTTAGATCTATCTAGACACTTTAAATGCATATGTATCTGTTTATCATTTAGCTCTCAGTGAAAATGTAAGTTTCATAAGGACAGTGATTCTGTTTGTTCATTGCATGTGATTACATGTACTTTAGCACTAAGTGTTAAATAAATATTTGTTAAGTGAATGAATGAATGAGATCGAAGAAATAGGAATCAGAGTAAATTACAAGATACAAGAGAAAAAAATCAGAGACTCAGGGATGAATTTCAGATTTACTTTTTATTTATTGTTCATGTAGTAATTTGCAATGAAGATTTTGTAATCTGCCTTGATAAATAAATTCATTAACATTAAATATACATCCTTAAATACACTTTTTCACTTTGAGAATTAACATTGTATGGGTTTTGGTAGAGATGGTGTCTCACTATGTTGCCTTGGCTGGTTTGAAACTCCAGGCCTCAAAGGATCCTTCCACTTCAGCCTTCCAAAGTGCTGGGATTACAGGCATGAGCCACTGCACCTGGCCTAAAGACTTCAAAAAATTTAATCTTCATATGCCTTTATACACATTTGTTTTAAAATATATAATTATGTAGATAGATGATAAAATTAAAATTTTTACTTTAATTTTTAACTTTATATTAATTTAATATAACCTTATCAGCATATTAAATAAAACAGTATAGCTACTACATTTTAACTACCATTTTAATAAACTAGTCATTTTCTTAAGTAAAGGTTTATATAATCTTGTATGTGTATACATTCATGTTTTTCTATAATTATTATACCAAGCAGATTCCTAATTATTTTTATTAGTCACCACTTTTAACCAATGTAATTTATTTTTGCTTTCTCCAAAGAGAAAACCAAAGACAAAAAAATCAAGAAATGTCTAGCTAAATTTTTATGAGTACACATTTTACTTTTATAAATTTTTAAAATTTTTAATTGATACATAATTATACAAACAATGGGGTACGATGTGTATTCTGATATATATACACAATGGATAATGATCAAATCAGGGAAATTAACATATCCATCACCTGAAACATTTATTATTTTTTTGTGCTAGGAAAATTCAAAATCCTCTTTTCTGGGTACAATTACATATTGCTTCACAAGGGGTATATGGCCTGAGAAATGACATTAGACAATTTTGTAGTGCAAACAATCATAGAATGTACCTACCCAAATCTAGATGGTATAACCTGCTATACACCTAAGGTATAGGACACACCTGTTGTTCCTCAGTTCCAAACCCGAACAGCAGAACAGCACGTTCTAATATTAAACACTGTAGACGACTGTAACACAATAGTGATACCGGAAGTTTGCTCTTCAGTAAGTTCTTGGTCTCACTGATTCGAAGAATGAATCTGTGGACCATGGATCAGTGGTAAGACAGGATTTATTTACAGAAAAGAATACAGAAGAGCCAGAGCTCCTGGCAGAGAGAAAACTGGAGACAGGAGAGAAAAGTGCTCTCTCTCCCTCTCTGTCTGTCTGTCTGTAGGCTCTTTGTCTAGAGGTATATATAGTGTCATGGGGCCCTCAATAGTTACATTTAGCTAGGTAGTTACATTTAGCTTGTCCGGGCCATCCTGTCTGGGACATGTCTGGGTCATGTCTAGGCCAATGTGTCTGGGACATGTCTGGGTCACGTCTGGGCCAATGTGTCTGGGGCATGTCTGGGTCACACATGAATGGCTACAATTCCTTTCATTCCCAGGCCTAGGAAATGGGGACCCCATCCCCACCCTCCAGCCTGCTGGGTCTACTGCTTGCTGGCACTGCACCAACACTGCCAAGGTGGAGGCAGCCCGTCGGCACCCTCCAGCTCCAGAGCTGGCTGGGATGCCACTTGTCCTGTACCAATAGTAAATACTTATGTATCTAAACATAGAAAATGTACAATAAAAATACAAAACCACAATATTATAATCTTACAGGATCGCTATGGTCCATCACTGACTAAAATGTTGTGATGGGCTTTATTATGGTCTCGAAAATATATAATAAAAATATAGAATGCTTTGTGATTTGCATGTCATCTTTGCACAAAGATTATGCTAATAATCTCTGTACCTTTCCAATTTTACCCCATGTGCTGCCAAAGCAAGAACCTCTGTAAGTTTCAAGGTGACAACATAACAATATATAATATTCAAAGGGTTCGCACACTCTGTTAATTCATAGTCATTTGGAATGTCTAAGAGTAAATTGAAGTTATTTTAAGTAACCAGAACTTTGCATCATTTATTATTTAGAAATTGCCAAGTAAGTAAGAACTAATTTAAGGGCTTGGAAGGTTAATTAAGGATCTGAAAAATTACAATTATAGTTAACATAGTCCTTATAGTAAGTAGCAGCCTAATGATTTTATAAGATCCTAACCCCTTTAAAAGACACTTGTATTATACAATTTTCTAGTTAAGCACCATTTTCTATTTTGTAATCTTGCACAAATCAGTGGATTCAATGACAACGTATTTGACCTATACATTAAATATGGGAAATTTAGAAAGTTTCAATCATAGAAAGTGAAACCTTAGTTTTATATAAACTAGGATGTTTTATTTTTATTTTTTTTATTTTTTATTTATTTTTTTATTTTTTGAGACAGAGCCTCAAGCTGTCCCCCTGGGTAGAGTGCCGTGGCATTACAGCTCACAGCAACCTCCAACTCCTGGGCTCAAGCCAGTCTCCTGCC